TGTCTTTATGAAATTATTTCAGGTAAAATGCCAATGAAACAGTATTTTTAAAGGAAAAAAATATTTTTCTTGTTGTTGTTGTCGTAGTCCATTAAGGCACTGAGGGTGCGATTGTTCTCGTTTTCCTGTGGCGCCATCTATGTCCAAGAACTTGACTTCTGCCACACCCATATGTCCCACCCATTTATTGGGCAGACCCATTCATACATCCATTCATTCATTCACAAATCTTAATTTTGACCTGAACCAGAGAACGATCAATCTCCAATCCAGTATCCCCAGAGGTCTAATTATTTTTATGGGAACATGGAAGACTTTGTGAAGAAACAGATTTAACGAGTGCACCAGTCACCATCTTCGGCTGGCAAAATATATTTCTAATAACAATATGATAAAAAAAAATTATGAAAAGAACAAACATTTGTAAGATATTCCATTAGTATTCATTATCACGCTTTTCAAATCAAAATAAATAAATTCTTTAATAAAGAAATATGCTTCCATCATAACCATTTTCAATAATAGTTCTTTTAAGTTTTCAATTCGGATTATTTAATCATTTTCCACTTCTGTATATACACCGGAAACAATTTCCTAACTAAACTATATGTTGCACAAGGACTGCAAATTTAACTGTCTGGTATAAAACCTACTTTAAGATTATTAATAGTAAAACGATGAAAACTCTTTATTTCTTAAAATAAATATTATAAAGATTGTCTTTAATAAGTTATACAGTTCTTTCTTTGGACAAACAATTACATGTTTTTACTTCTATCCAAACGACATTAATAATTCCAAGGAATTTAAAATGCTCTAAAGTTCTTCTTACCTCCCCTCACAAGAATTTTGTTTTTTAATTTTTCATAATATTTCGTAATTCTTAACATAAAATCTTTTTGGTGATAGATTTTATCATTTTTAAACTTACGTGCGCTAAATAAATACTGTTAATTTAATCAGTAAAGAAAATCATTAACGTGTTTGCGAAAGATTTCAAGGATATTATAATTAATGCGTTGTTTTAGTTTTATTTGGTTATAAGGTCACAACATTTTACTGTTTGCGATTTGGAAATATAATTTATAGAGTTTAAATAAAATTGATAAATGTATTGAATAACCAATGCACAATAAACTTTTTAGATCTGGTTTCATAACAAACAGTTTTAAGAAAAGTAATTTTTCAAGAATATTTGGTTAATATATTTGATCAGGTAATAGTTATTTAAATATGTATCACACAGGGTTGAAGTCAATGAGAATCACAATTAGATTTGCTAAGCAGTGGGCAAAAAAAGAAAAGGATCACCCTGATTAATTTTTGATCTAATAAACATATCCTCACGCTCTAGGTCTTTCGAGGCGGTGTATGCTAAGTAATTAGTACAGATGATATTTTAAGTTACTAAATCAGACACTAAAACGTACTTTCTCTGATTAAGCATACCTTTTCTTCGACGAATTAGATTATTTTTTATACTTATTTCGACTTTCACTCTACTGCTGGACTGCCGTTCGCACGAACATGAGCTCAGCGCTCTGCCAACCGGCCCTAGAAAACAGTCTGATTATGGATTTTCATTGTAATTTTTACTGAAATAACTTGTTTTTTACTTTATAAAACAGTTTAGGCTACGGATTTACTTCGTTAATTTTACAGTTTAGTACAACCGACCCAGCTGCCTGTTAAAAACTGTAAATTTTTTCAGGATTTTTTGCAATGTATCAAGCGTCGTTTACATATATGTGTAAATTTATTATTTCGTTATTTTGTGTATGCTAGCCATTTAAAATGCTAGTGTTATGCTTTATGCTAGTGTTATGCTAGCCCTATACATTCCTCGCAAATTCAACATGTATACTTTTTAATTTTTCATTTTTCACAAGAATCATGAAAAATATATGTTAAAGTTGATTATTACCGGACGCCTTGTATATGATTGTAAAATATGCTTCCGGTGATCAATAATATCGTGTATACTTTTAATCTTCATTCTTGATAAAAATCATAAAAATATAAGTAAAGGGTGGTCATTATGGGACACCCTATATGTGCATCGTAAATACTGCCTTTCATATATCTGCAGATTTCAGTGATGGCAGAAAAGATTTGGATGAGCAAAACACTGAAAATAACCTTTTGATTTTTTTTCCGAAAATGGTATTTTCTGTAGACTTTCTTTAGAAAATCTATCTATATATATATTTCTCTTACACGGCGATAAAAAAAAAGCCTCATTACAACGCTAGAAAATCAGCCAATGACTGCCGCTAAAAATGTCACATGCTAAATCTATATTAGATGGCTCAACATATAGCGCTTATAAAAACGGAAACTGAAATAACCAGAGTGTAAAATATTATGTGCTTATGCGCATCGTATTTTTTGTTAAATAATTTATTTATTATATATCAGTTTATAGATGGTAACGAGAAGAGTTTTGTGGTTGCTATGGTGACTAATTAGAATGTAAATTGTTTTTTTGAGTGAGTGTGAGATTTGTTTTTTGGAACTGCGATGCTGTAATTTTATTGTTTAGATAATAAATCTTTTTTTTATATTAAACGTGATAGTAGTTTCATTAATTATTTGATTCGAAGTCCTTGGAGTTTTATTTGAGGTCAGTTTATTTTGTATTTTTTTACAAGAGAGAGCATTCTCACCAAAT